GAGAATAATAGAGGGTTATTTATTTAGGGATAGACTCACAAATCACAATCCTTTGCCAGAATGGAGAACAGCAACCCAGTATCTCAGCCGGAAAAGAGGCCGAATGCATGCTTTACATGGGCATAAATAGTATATGAGGCCACGCCCCAGTGGGCGGGTAACTTAAAGGCTACTGGCAGTAGGAATTCCTACAGCATGGTACATTTGAAAATGTGTTTATATACTGAATAAAAGAAAATAGGTATAGACAGTCATAGAAAAAAACAAAATAGTTAAAAAACCTTAAAGTCTTTAAAGAAAGAATAACGTATGTAAAAATAGTAAGTCATACAAAGTTGGGAAATACACAGCCAGTATGGACCCCATATGGTGCTTCGTTGACTTTGAATTTTTTGGAAGCTAATAACAGAGAATGACAGCTGCCAAGAGATAATGGACTGTGGAAGGGACTGCTGAATTAAACCAGCCTATATACTCTAGGGATGGCTTGGCTTTGCAATAGAAGTTGGGAAATGTGTTGCACTGGGAGAATGGTTAAACCTTTATTTCCACAGGAAATGAAAAGCTATGGATTCCTTCAAAGTTAATAAAGATCAGATTTGACCAGAGGAGACCTCCTGAAAATCTTGACTATAGATATGAGAAAAGAAACAAAGAAAGATTAGAGGACAGGTGATGTATAAACTGATCCCTCTGCTATGGTGACAGTGCTGAGAATGGACGAAATATGATAAATCTTGTTGGCCAGAGTCCTCACGACTCATTATCACTTGTCATCCTTTCATATGACATGGATAGAGGTTTGATTGTACAGCCCAAGCTAACTTATAAAGTTGACAAATGTCTTTTATCTGCTCAAACATAAAACAAAAAAAAAATCATCTTTAGCTGACTTGTATGTATGCCACACATTCCATACCTGCGTTAATGCATATATGGATGTTATCTTTAAAAGTTTGTGTGTTTTCAGAAAAAAGAACCAGACACCAATAAAACAAGTAGCCCAGGTGATCCGGCCTCTCAGGATGCCTCTGTTGCAGTTTCCTCAAAATTCTGCATCCAGAACAACTTCAAAGCTGCTGACTGAGATGGTCCAGCCTCACAGACTATCCAGCTCAGATAAGCTCTACAGTTTCCCATCTCACAGAAACTAAACATAAAGATAATACTTCTAGCTCTCCCAGGACTTGACCATTATCCCAATTTTCTCAGGCCTAAAGATGCCATCACCTTTGGACAACAGGAAGCAATCTAGAGAGCATGATGCCCACATTTCCAAGAGGTGGGATGGGTAGTTTTGGTACTTTAATGGATTGTGGATGTTTATCATTGCTTATTGGGGTTGGTTGCAAGTTGTTTGTCATGGTCAGAAAAAAACTGAATAAAGTAGATTAGATTCAGTGATCTATTTCTGAAGGGAAAAAGTACATAATGTAGAAATTATAGGATAAAAGGGTAGGTTATTAAATCTACTTTTAAACTAAAAAACAACTATTAGTCTTAATATTTTACATTGGTATGGATTTTTAAATATTGATACAAATTTAAGGGTTTGTTTTGCTAAACTGTATGTTTCTATTCTTGTTTTAATGTATCTATGGAGCTCATTTAAAAATGTAATGGAGCCGGGTGGTGGTGGCGCATGCCTTTAATCCCAGCACTCGGGAGGCAGAGGCAGGCGGATCTCTGTGAGTTCGAGGCCAGCCTGGTCTACAAGAGCTAGTTCCAGGACAGGAACCAAAAAAAGCTACGGAGAAACCCTGTCTCGAAAAATAAAAAAAATATGTAATGGATAATTAAGAAATATACGTAGTATTTAGTCATCTATAATAATTAAATTCTTGGCTATGTTAGATATGTTTTCAAGGTCAAGCAGAGGTATATTTTAAAGATGGTCTTCAAACACTTCAAAGACCAAGAGAATATGATATTTTTTATGATATTTTAAATGTTTTAATAACATAAGTCTTTTCATGACAGTGAGATGTGTCTGTTCATGGCAGCATCAATTTACTTCAAAAAAAGGATGATGGTTATCACAGAACTGTCTTACGGAGTTTGCTTTCAGTGTATCAAAGCTAGCTTTTTGGGCAAGAAACTGCCCTTGCCTCAACTGCTGACAATTGTGTCCAAATTGGATAAGCCGGACACAAAATAAGGTGACTGCCAAACTTTGCCAAGACAAGGTAGGTGGAACCCAAGTTATCTCCATAAAGAGAACTGGGACTTAATGGATCCTTAGATTTTTGTTTGAGATGGGAACAGATCTACTTCTCTATTCCTTGAGCACAAGGTCTGGCAATTAGCCACACCTGTAGACAATCATCTTGAGAGAGCGGAACTCTCTAATCAACATCTAGATGGGGTTTTTGTTTGAGGTAGAAGCGCAATAATCTTGTAAATTCCAACTCTCTGACCTTTGGTCAACATGGAAATCGGCTCATAGTTTTGAGCCTCCGCAGCTTTCCCACCTAACTTCCTGTCCAGCTATTGGCCTGTTAGCTTTCTATTAACCAATGAGAGTAACACATATATTCTTTTTTTTTTTTTTTGGTTTTTCGAGACAGGGTTTCTCTGTGGCTTTGGAGCCTGTCCTGGAACTAGCTCTATAGACCAGGCTGGTCTCGAACTCACAGAGATCCGCCTGCCTCTGCCTCCCGAGTGCTGGGATTAAAGGCGTGTGCCACCATCGCCCGGCCATATATTCATAGTGTACAAAAGGATTGTTCCACAGCATTCCCCCTTTTGTTTAATTAAAAAGGAAGGCTTTAATTTTAATATAGTAAAATTATATACAACAAAAACAGTTATTAAGTAAGAATTACAGTAACAACATCTAATCCGTTTGCATTTGGCAAAATTAGAGAAAATACTTAATTATCTATCTCATCTTGGTGAGTCTAAAGTTTGTATCTAATTTACTTTCTAATTAACTAAGGAAAACTATAATTAAAATTATTTAGTCTTCAACTCCATCAAAGACCCCTACAAGGGTGAAATGTTACCTAATGACAGGGACCTCAATTTGCATGGACAGTCACCCAAAGTTCCTCTGCAACGTTAGGGCATCCAACTCTGGCCGACAGGTTTAGCATATCTTACATACTTTCCTGTGAAGCAGGGAATTCTGAAGGGCTTTCCTATTTTATCTTGGCAAAGTTTGGAAGTCACCTTTCTTGTGTCCATTGACTCAGTTTGGACAGTAACTGTCAGCAATTGAGGAAAGGGCAGTTTCTTTGCCCACATGGCTAGCTTTTGCCATAAAGAAAGCAACTGACCTCCTGCCCGGCTACTGGCCTGTCAGCTTCTTAATTAACTAATGAGAATAATACATATTCACAGTGAAGAACAGGATTGTTCCACAGCAACATACAGAGATATTAACAGAACCAAAAGAGCCATTAACCATGTTGACACTTAATTTTTTTAGGCCAGCTATATAATTCTTTAGAGGAATGTTTCCAGCACATATTTGTTAGCATTTAACACAAGGGGGAAACAAAAACTCCTTTCTCTCCCAACTTCTAAGGAAGAAACAAAAATAGTTTATGAGCTTGGTGGAGTTGTGCATCCATTTAATCCCAGTGGGGAGGCAGAGCCAGGTGGATCTTTGTGAATTCAAGACCAGCCTGGTCTACAGGGTGAGTTACAGGACTGTTAGGGTTGTGTAATGTTTTCTGGAGACTTCCATTTTCAAAATGTCCAAAGAGTGCTGGGTTACAGTCCCATGGACCTTCATTGAGGAACTCTGGGTCCCCATCTCAACATTTTCAGGAAACATCTAGAACCAGACCTTGAAGACTCCAATGGTCACATTGATCTCTACAGAGCCTGCTGGGTGATGGCATCACAGAGTTCAGTGGAAGATCCTGGTCTGGACTCTCTGAGGTTCGCATGAGATGCTTGTGGAGATGGTCAGTCAAGCTCATGGTCATCCTGGACATGTCTTGTTGGCAATAAAGGCTGCCTGGCTATCAAGATCTCAGCTTCGCCTCCAAGATCCCCCCCTTTCATGTGAATCAGGAGCTCACTCGACACGAATGTGCTTTCTGTTCTTATTAAAAGCCGCTTCCACCAGCCAAGCCTTCAGGAACACTGCTTTCCAACCCATCAGATACTCAGTGTGGAACCACTTGGGCAACTTGCTATCGTCTCTGAGAATCTCAAAGTCCTTTCTTGGTGGTGAAGCTGCAGGAATGAACATATGAAATATCTTGGGAATGACCATACTGCATGAGCCTGGCTATAGGAAGTCAATGGAACAGCAAGCCCAACTCTCTCTTTCTCTGTCTCTGTCTCTCTTCTCTTATACTACTCCTGTTCCCAGAGGCAGGTCTCCCCTCTTCCTTTCCCCCTTTTCCCATTCACTTTCTCCCCACCCAATAAAAACCCTCCCCTGAGCTCTGTTGCATGGTATCTTTTTCTCTCTCACTGGTTTTTGTAAACTACAACAGCCACTCTCGTGTTTTCCTCGATAAATCTCAAGTGAGGTTTGTTGTGCGGTGGGATTTTGTGGTATTCCTTGACTGGGGACTGCCCGGAAACCTCTTCCTCAGAACCAGATTCTAGGGATGCTGCGAGACTTGTGGACATCATCTGCTTTGACGTGTTCACGGGCACCTCAGCCGTTTGTCCTGGTTTTCAGACATAACACTAAGGTTACACATTAAGAAACACCCAACAGGATTCCACTACACACCTGCATACTGCTTTTTACATTGTTACATACAGCCACATTCACAACCCTAGGACGTCCGGTTATAAAAAAAAAAATCACAATTTCACAACATCTTTCTCCTGCTTGTTTCGCCTGAACCCAACTTTCAGTCTCAATTCCCACCTGGCGTTAGTTTGTGTGTCTTGAGTTAACACCAGAGTCTGGTACAACTTTTATGGAAAGCTACCAAGTACAAGCCAGAGGCGTGGGAACGCGCGGTAGCTTCTGGGAAATGTAGTTCTGCACTGTTCCACGTCACCAAGATGGTTTCCGCCAACGTTTTTACCAGAGGGTTACGTGTTATTCGGAATCTCGCCCTGCAGGCCGTTTTTACGAGAGGGTTACGTTTAACCGAGAGGGTTACGTGTTATTCGGAATCTCGCCCTGCAGACGCGTAAAGCCTATTCAGTGAGTTTGAGATGCCCTTATTATACACGATGGCACATCACCGTCCTTCCTGGTAAAACAGTAAAAGCCGTAGTATTTGAGTCCCGGTCTTTAATTCCCTAACACCACCTAGACGAGCTGGGAAAAGTTCGCGGGAAAAATTGACTAGATCCCGAGACTTCTGGGAAGTGTAGTCCACAGTCAAAAGAAGGAAATGGAGAAAGATCCGCTAGTTTAGATCCCTGGTGGGCAGAGACCTCTGGGCGTGCTGGCAGGAGTGCGCAGGCGCAGGCTTCGTGGCTCGCCATCGTCGCCTTTGTCTGCTGGTGAGTTTGATTTGGGGGTCTGTAGGGCCGTCGTTTTCCTGGGCCCGGATGAGCCAAAGAAGCTGTAGGGGAGGGTTTGCTGCTCCTGCAAGGGCGAGGATGCCCGAAGGGGTGAGAATCGCTTACTGTGACTGCGGAGCTGGGAACTTGGGCGGATGGGGGGGCTGGGGAGAGCCAGAAGCCGGGGTGGGTTTGCGGGTGGGGTGAGCTTACGTGTGAGGGTGTCCTTTGGTTGGTTTCAAATTAGAGAGAAACTGAATTCAAGTTAGTGAGAATACACGAATGGGAATACACTTGTCACATTTTAAGAATAACGCCTTGTTCTAGTAAACAGGAAAGGGAAAAAGATAAATTGAGTGATTCGTTTAAAAGTTTTTTTTTTTAAATAAAACATGTCAGTACAAAATGAAACCAACGTTCCTTTGAAAAATCTTTTTTTTTTGTAACGAAGATTTCCAAAAACTTGCTATTGGGTGCCTACACATCAGAAGGAATTAACTTAGTACTTGGAGAAACTTCAGTCGAAGCCTTTCTGAGTAGCCTTTGAGTTTACGGAATAGCCCTTGGGAGGTACTTTCCACTGTACAGATTCGGAATAGCTTTAGGAAAGTTGTCCCCACCCTCAGCAGAGAGGTCCAGAAGATGTTTAGTACTCAAATACTCAAAGGGCTAGGCTCTTTGCCAAGTTAAAACTCTTAATTTGTTCAGATGTTCCCCATACCGAGTAGCTTTTGTTAAAGTACAGTTTTTCTTCTGCATTTTAGAGAAGTATTTTGCCTTTTTTTTTTTTTTTTTTTTTGGAAAGAGGGTTTCTCTGCATAGCCGTGGTTGTACTGGAACTCACCTTGTTGACTAGGCAGGCCTCTGCTTCCCAAGTACTGGAATGAAAGGCCAGCACCACCATGCCTTGCACGTCACAATTATTTATTTTGAAACAGAATTTCTCTGTGTAGCCTTTGTTGGGCCCTAAAGCCCCACCAAGGAGGAGGTCGCCCCAAGAGACACTCACAGCACTGTTGATGCAATAGCAAGAGGAATTTTTATTCTGCCACGGCAGAGGTCCCTCAGCCTCGAGAGGAGAAGGACGCCTGCTTTGTCTATTACAAGCTCTTTTAAAGGAAAAACCCACAAAATCAGGGAGGGGGTAGTACAGAATCAAAGGGAAAGTCCAAAAATCATTTGTCAACTATTTTGACTAGTTCATACAATGGTCAGCTAACTCTACTTGATCAATGTTATGGTGGTTACAAGGAGGAACACCTGCAGGTCGTCTCACCCCAGTTCCAGGATCCGGGTCTATTGAAGAAAGACTAGAATGGGGATGGAAAGTACTCAAAGCTCCCGTGCATGCGTGGTTAGTTACCAGGGTCCTGGTTCCCAGGAAGGGGGGTGCAGTAGTGCTAAGGTGCCTCAAAGTCTTCCACCTTGCTATTCTGGAACTAGCTCTGTAAACCAGTCTGGCCTCAAACTCAGAGATTTGCCTGCTTCTGCCTTCCAAATGCTGGGATTAAAGGCGTGTGTCACTACTAGCCAGCTTGTCGCACTTTTCCCCCCCTTGGTTTTTTTCAGACAGGGTTTCTCTGTGTAACAATCCTGGGTGTCCTGGAACTGCTCTGTAGACTAGGCTGGCTTTGAACTCACTGATATCTGCCTGTCTTTGCCTCTGACTACTGGGGTTAAAGGCGTGTGCCACCACTACCCAGCTTTCGCATTTACTTTTAAAACATGTTTTTCTTTTTTTATTTATTAAAGATTTTTAAAGAGGTGTGTGTGTGTGTGTGTGTGTGTGTGTGTGTGTGTGTACGTGTACTTGTGGGCGCGTGGGCACGTGGGAGTGCTGATGGAAGCCGGAAGGGGCCATCAGGTCCCCTGAAGCTGGAGTTACAGCCCTGGGTGAGCAGCCCTGCGTGGGCTGCTGGGAGAACGGTACTGCTCCTGACTGCTGAGCTGGTTCTCCTGCCCATTAGCAAATTTTTCTGTAAGTGATAGGGCTCGTTCCAGGACAGGTTCCAAAGCCACAGAGAAATCCTGTCTCGAAAAACAAAAAAAAAGAAAGAAAGAAAAAAGAAAGAAAAAGAAAAAAAAACTTTTTTAGCCAGTTAGTGCTGGCTCACACCTTTAATTCCAGCACTTGGAGGCAGAGGCAGGCGGATCTCTGGGAATTCGAGGCCAGCCTGGTCTACAAGAGCTAGTCCAGGACAGGCACCAAAGCTACAGAGAAATCTTGTCTCAAAAAAAACAAACAAACAAACAAAAAACCATAATAATAATAAAAAAAGAGTCAATGTCAACAGTTGGATAAATGAAGAAAAAAGACATTTAAACTAACAAAGAAGACACAGCTTGTTTTAGTGTGTGTTGTATACATCTGCATGTGGGTGTGTGCATAAGTAGTCATGAGTGCACACGTACATGTATGCATGCGCATGTATACGGGTGCTGTAGGGTAGAGGCAGATGCCAGGTGTCTTGCTCTCTATTGTGTGAGTCAGGGTCTCTCTCACTGAGTGAGCCTCGCTCTCCCGCTGAGCCTGGCTGACCAGTAAGCTTTGGGGATCCACTTGTCTCTGCCCCTCTTCCATCTGCAGACTCAGGACCTAGTGCCTTTCCTGACCTTCTCTCCAGCCCCAGCTTGTTCCAAATTATCCCTCAGATATCTCCAAGCCTAGGATTGTGGGATTTACCTTTTTTTTTTTTTTTTAACCCCTAAGTACTCCCTTCTACTGTGGTTTTCTCAGAAACAGATTACAGAGGTCTGTTTTTAAGGAGTCTTTTTCTATTTTTTTAAACTTTCTTTTTATACATTCTTTGTGTCTTTTATATCACACATCTCAATCCTGTTCATCTCCCTGCCCCTTCATATCTGCCCTCTGCCCTTGCAACCCCCAATAGAATAAAATTTAAGAAATAAAAAGGAAAAAAATCTCGTTATGGAAGCCACACTGTGACAGTCACACAAGGAAACCTGTTGCTCCATATAGCTTTACTTGCAAGTGTTCATTGCAAAGAGTCCTTGGTCTGGCTCAAGGCCTCTGATTTTTCCTACACTATCAGTGCTGGGCCCTCACCGGGACTCCTCTTGGATATCCTGTTTTTGCCCAGTGTCATGGAGATCCTGCAGCTTTGGGGTCTGGAGGACCAGCCCCTTCACGTGCTTCCACAGGTAATAGTTGAGGTGGGTGTTGTGGTGGGCCAGCTCATAGTCCTGGTTCTGGGCCTGGGTGGTTGCTGGTTGGTCAGCCACCAGCTGTCCCCTGCCCTCACCACCAGGGTGAGCTCTCCAGTACTGCCCCAGCTAGTTCACCCCTTGAAGCAATGAGCTTGGGGCTGGCCAGTTCTCATGTTTCCAGGCTCAGGGTCAGCTCTCCAACACCTGGACCACCAGGGCCAGCTCTACTGTGCTGCCCAGGCAAGGTGCAGGGGTCACTGTCCTGAGTGCTGCAGCTGGTGAGGGCAGGGACAGCTCTCCCGATCTTATGACCTCAGGGCCATCTCTCCCACCTGCCTACACCACCAGATGGCAGACGAGGGGCAAGGCCGGGTCTCCCATGCTCATATTCTCTGGGTAATTCACTGGTACCTGTCAGTAGCTCTGCTGTGCTGCCCAGGTGAGGTGCATATCCACCTTCCTGAGTGCTGCAGCTGGTAAGGGGAAGGGTTGGCTCCCTTGCCCTCTCCACCACATGGCAGGCAAGAGGATGTGGCCAGCTGTTCCACTCACTCACTCAGGGGCAGTTCTACTGTAGTGCTCAGCAGCTGGTTAGGGGGAGAGTCGGCTCTCTGGTCTGCCGCATGTGTCAAGGGATAAAGGGGGCATCTCTTCCCACCCATGCCACCACATGACAGGTGAGTAGTGGGGACAGCTCTCCCATGCTCACAACTTCGAGGTGGACTCACCCACACCTCCACCAATAGGGTGGGCTCTTTTGTGTTGCCCAGGTGAGATGCAGAGCCTGCTTTCTCCTGAGCGGTGCAGCTGGTGAGGGCCAGGGGCATCTCTCCTACCCGCCTCAGGCATAGAGGGGTGGGAGATGGGGCATCTCTTTCCTGCCCGTGCCAATGTATGGCAGATGAGGGGCAGGGCCAGATCTCTCATGCTCCAGTTCTCAGGGCCGGCTCATCCATGCCTGCATGCAGGGTCAATCTGTTGTGCTGCCCAGGCGAGGTGTAGGACCCTTTCTCCTGAGTGCTTCAGCCAGTGAGTGGCAGGACCAACTTGTCCAGCCCTAGTCTCTTGGCCTTTGGTGGTTTCAGGAGTCATGGACATCAACAGAGACTGCAGCTGCGTCAGAGACATGAACCCAGATGTGGGCCTGACATTGGCAATCAAGCCACCCATCTCTGCCCACTCCTCACTTCTTTTCCTCTTCAGATGTGCCTCTCTCCTCTGCTCACAGGACATGAACCATTCTCCTCTTCTCTTTTTCCCATACCACACTATACATTTGCTCACTATTGCTTCCTCATCACAAGGAGACTGTAATTGTGGCCAACTGCCTGGCACCTCCTGGTTGATGAGAAGGTGTTGCTGGAGTCCCCTCGTGGACCAGGGCTAGAAAGCCTGGGTTGCATTTGATTGAGTTTTGCCTGCCCCAGTTATATGGTGTGGGGCAGATGTGTGGCTGGGGTCCTCTCGTGCAGGCTGGGGCTCTATGTTTTTAATCCGTGTGTCCAGCAGTCTAGTGAATGGCTCCATTTGGAGGTTTCAGAAGACCTTCAACCTGACTGTCCTGAAACTCAGTGTGTAGAGCAGGCTGGCCTGGAACTTTGAGTGTAGGAGAACAAGCCTTGTGTTGCCATAAACCACTCCAAGCAGAATTCCTCATAGCACAGGATCGATAAATGTTTGCTAAATTCAGGATGTGCATATAATTACAGAAGCCTAAATTACATTTAATTTCTCCAAGAGTTACTAGACCTAGGTAAAATATTAGACCTGAAAAGGTTTTAAGAGCTGAGTTGTTAGTATTATCCAAATAATTTCCTGTATGTTTTGTTTGTATTGTTCATGGTTGATGATAACTTTTTTTTTTCTTTGGTTTTTTGAGACAGGGTTTCTCTGTAGCTTTGGAGCCTGTCCTGGAACTAGCTCTTGTAGACCAGGCTGGCTTCGAACTCACAGAAATCCGCCTGCCTCTGCCTCCCGAGTGCTGGGATTAAAGGTGTGCACCACCACTGCCTGCCTAAGTTGATGACTTTTAAAAGAAACCATGTTTTTGTTTTACTTTTGTCCTTGTTGGGATTGAACCCCTAACCTTCTCAAGGCAAAGCCTCTCTGTCTCTCTGTCTCTCTCTCTCTCTGTATGTGTGTGTGTGTGTTTGGATATTTTGCCTGATTGGATAGATGAGTACAACATGTGCTTGTCTGGTGTCTTTTGGAGGTCAGAAAAAGATGTCACATTCTGTGCATCTGGAATTACAGATAATTGTGAGCTACCATATGGGTTCTGGGAACCAAACTTGGGACCCCTGCAAGAGCAGGAAGTAGTCTTAACCACTGAGCTTCCTCCACAGAAGATTACCTGCAGCCTTTTCTCTCTCTCTCTCTCTCTCTCTCTCCCTCCCTCTCTCTCTTCCTCCTTCCCTCCTTTCCTTTGTTTTCTTTCTTTTGAGATTTTAAAACTGATTTTTATTTTATATGTATGGGTGTAATTGTTTTTTCTTTTCTTTCTTTTTTTTTTTTTTTTTTTTACTCTCTGGGGGCCTGTCACCCAGCTCCCAAATAAATATGAATGCCTGACCTTAGCTTGGCTTATTTCTAGCCATTTTCTTAACTTAGATTATTCCATCTACCTTTTGCCTCTAGGCCTTTACCTTTCCCTATTCTATATCTTTCTTCCAATTACTCTGTGGCTGGTTGTGTCCTGGGTGGCTGGCCCCTGCCATCCTCTTTTCCTTTTCTCCTCCTCCTCCTCATCTACTTCTATTCAGTCTCTCTGCCTGCCAGCCCCACCCATTTCTCTCTCCTGTTCAGCTATTGGCTGTTCTGCTTCTTTCCAGACCAATCAGGTGTTTTAGGCAGGCAAAGTAACACAGCTTCACAGAGTTAAACAAATGTAGCATAAAATAATGCAACACATTTTTGTATCATTAAATAAATATTCCACAGCATAAATGGTTGTAACATATCTTAAACTAATATTCCACAACATATGGGTTTTTGCCTGCACGTATGTCTATGTATCATATGCATACAGTACGCACAGAGGCCAGAAGAGAACACTCGATCTGATAGATCTGGAGTTCTGATGGTTTGTGAGCTGTCCTGCGGGTGCTGGGAACTGAACCTGGGTCCTCCGAAAGAGCAGCCATTGTTTTTAACTGCTGAGCCATCTTTCAAGCCCCCTTTCTTTTTTTGGGCTCAAGATGGGGTCTCACTGTGTAATTCTGGCTGTCTGGAACTCACTTTGTAGACCAGGCTGGCCTCAAATTTATAGAAATGTGCCTGCCTCTGACTCCTGATTAAAAGTGTGTGCTACTACTCCCAGCCCCTCTAACTTTTTTTTCTTCTTTTTTTTATTTTTTTTAATTTATTTATTTATTATGTGTACAACATTCCTTCCATGCGTGCCCGCAAGCCAGAAGGGGGCACCAGGTCTCATCACAAATGGCTGTGAGCCACCATGTGGTTGCTGGGAACCGAACCCAGGACCTCCGGAAGAGTAGTCAGTTCTCCCAACCACTGAGCCATCTCTCCAGCCCCCCCTCTAACTTTTTAAAGACAGTTTTCATGTAGCAAAGGCTGGAACTCACTATGTAACTGACCTTGAACTTCTGCTCCTTCAGCCTCTGTTGCCTGAGTACCTGTACCAGTTTATAGTCTCTCTTTTTCCAATTGTGTGTGTGTTATGCATGTGTTTTTTATGTTTGTTGACATATTGGTGGTGGAAGGGCATGTACACATGAGTGTGCCTGCATGTGGGTGGGTCTTACACTGATGTTAGGAATCACCTTCCATCTATTTTGTTTTTTTGAGACAGGGTTTCTCTGTAGCTTTGGAGCCTGTCCTAGAACTTACTCTGTAGACCAGGCTGGCCTTGAACTCGCAGAGATCCGCCTGCCTCTGCCTCCCCAGTACTGGGATTAAAGGTGTGTGCCACGACTTCCCAGCTCCCTCCATCTACTTTTTACTTTACTTATTAAGTCATTTTTTTCTCCGCCACACTCAGAGCGCCTATGGCTAGTACTACTAGCCAGCTTGCTCTCAGGGTTCCTTCTCTGCCCTCTGACAATGGATCCTAGGGAGCCAAACACTATCTTCATGCTTGCTGTTACAAATACTTTAACCACTGAGCCATTTCTCTGGCCTTCTATTTACTTTTTTGAAACAGGTAGCCTAGTCTTTTCTCAAATCTCCATCTTCCTGCCTTGATTTCCAAGTTGCTAGTACTGGAAACACATGTTCCCACTCCTGCCTTAAACCTGTTGCGGGGGGTTGGGGGGAAGATAAGACAGCAGTTTGCCTTCATTTGGGAGCGAGGCCACCTGTGACAGCTGCCCAGACATCATGGTGAGATGGCAGTTTGGGCAACCTCAGAAAGTCAGTGTCATAGTTCTCTGTATAACTTAAATTCTGAAAATGAAATACCTTGTGTTACCCACTTCCGAAGTACCTTTTGGTTTTAGGCAGAATTTTGGGTTTATCCTGAATGCAAACTGTCAACGCTCTTGCCCTTTGCTGTGGGCCTGAACGCACCGAGGCTCCTAGACGCACAGAACTTGGTTGTTTTCGCAGGACAGCGGAGCGGAAGTTTGCTTGCCCTTCAAACCTCTAGTGAGTTCTGAGGCCTCAGCCTGACTTACGACTGCTGCTTTGATTTCCAGAGATATCAGCGTCCTGAAGCACTTTCTCTTTGCAAGTTTAGAGTCTATGCTTCAAACAGAAACTGTGGGTGGTTGAGAAGTTAAGTCTGCAGGTGAGTGGAAGCCTTGTATACGTTCAGTGTCCTGGGTGCAGTGAGGCTTTGCAACCGCCTATGGGTTTTTAGTTGTTGTTGTTGTTTTCTATAAGCTCAGCCCCATTTGAAGGGACGATTGCTGAAAATCCTTTAGACAGGTCAGTGATCCAGGCCCTGCTTTCCTTTCCTCACCCTCTATAGGATTGGTTGCTCTTCTAACTTCTCTGCTGCATGCCAGCCCCCCTCCTTCACTTCCAGGCCTAATTTTAATGGCTGCTCCTGTACCTCCAGCTCTCATCTCCATAGGCACCGGCACTCGTGTGCACATCCACACACTAACACGTTTAAGACAAACAGCAAACCCTACAGAGCATGCAGGTCTTTTTCTTTGTAACTCCCTGACCAACACCGCATGGCAGTATTTGAGTGGCGTTGTGATAGTGTGCTAGATATTCTGTGTAACCTAAAAGGATTTAACTGTAGGAGGACATGCAGAGATTGTCTGCAGAGATGCCCTGTGGATGCCCAGGGATGGCTCAGTAGCCAGCTGTTTTTGCTCAGTCTTTCCTTACCCTGAACTACAAATCGGCAACCACATAAGTTACTTTAAGTTATTATTATTATTTTTTTTTTTTGGTTTTTCGAGACAGGGTTTCTCTGTAGCTTTGGAGTCTGTCCTGGAACTAGCTCTTGTAGACCAGGCTGGCCTCGAACTCAGAGATCCGCCTGCCTCTGCCTCCCGAGTGCTAGGATTAAAGGCGTGCGCCACCACCGCCCAGCTCACATAAATTGCTTTTTATTGTTGTTGAGACAGGGTTTCAATATGTATCCTTTGTTATCCTCAGACTTGCTGTGTAGCTCAGGCTAGCCTCTAACTCACAGAGATTGAGTGCTGGGATTGAGAACTGACTCCTACACGTTGTCCTCTGACTCCCACACACCAGTGCATACGCACCGGCTCAGCACACAGCACAGAATGAATATGTGCCTCCTTGTTCTTTCCTTGTTACTTTCATGAACAGTTTTGCAGTAATGTGCTTTATCTAGCATGGCTGTCTTTGAGTGGGATTTCTCTGTATTGGATGAGCCTGTTCTTGTGTTGAGCACGTGCAGAATTTTGGAAAGCTTTCTTTATTCCGTTCTGTTGTCTCTCGGTTGTTTTCCACGACTCATTCGATACTTTTCGGATCTCCTAGATTTTATTACTGATGCACTAATTTTCCAGCCATTACTCTAGATCCCTTGATTCCTTCCACCCTTTCTACTTGTTTCTTGCTTTTTGTGTGTGTGTGCTAATGTGTTAAATCTTTTTGAAAATATTAATTTTATTTATTATTATTAGTGTGTGTTTGTATACAGGCATACTTCTATGGTATGTTTGGAGGTCAGAACGCAAGCCTGTGGAGTCTCCTTCCACAGGACTCTGGGGCTCAAACTCTAGATGTCAAGCTTGAGTATCAAGCAATTTATCAGTCGATCTCATTTGGCTCTAATTTATTATAATCTTAAACGTATACGGCATTGTTTTTTCTTTTAACTTTTTATAATATTAGCTATAGTGTTTATTTGTTTATCTTCAGTGAGTGTTCTCTTGTGTGAAGAGGCATCATGACCAAGGCAACTCTAAAAGAAAGAGTGTAGTTGTGGGCTTGCTTAGAGCATCAGAGGGCTAGTCCGTCATTCCCATGTAAGGGCCTGATGGAGGCACGGTGTGTTCATGGTGCCTGAGCAGTAGCTGAGAGTTGCATTCTGTCTCCAATCAGAGAGAACACTGGACTGCTGTGGGCAAAGTCCGCTCCCAGTCACACTCCTCCTCCAACAAGGCCACACCTCCTAATCCTTCTCAAACCGTGCTGCTCTCTGAGTGACTAAGCATTCGAATATATGGGCCTATGAGGGCCGTTCCCATTCCAGCACCACAGGACTAAACCCAGGGTTTCTTAAATTTGGAATCTTCAGCTGCCAAAGTGCTGAGAATACTTTTTCTTGATATTTACATTCCAGGTCTTTCTACTGATCAAAGCTGCATTATGGGAGTAGGGATGCAGCTCAGTTTGTGGGTTCCTTGCTTACATGGACCTTTGTAGTCCTGCCTTTGATCCCGGTGCCCTGTAAATCCTGCAGATTGGCACATGCCTGCCTTTGATCCCAGCACCCTGTAAGTCATGCAGATTGGCACATGCCTGGCACAAGCAGGAGGAGTGGAAGCTGTCAGTCATCCTCAGCTACATGGTGATTTTGGGGCATCCTAGTTTACATGAGACCCTCAAAAAGAATCGTGTCGCTGTTAAGAGCAGGTGTTGCTCCTTCTCAGCACCCTCACTGGGTGACTCACAAAGCCTATAACTACCTTCCGGGATTTGATGCTTCTGACCTCCGCAGGAACCAGCACTCATGTGCTCATATGTACTCCACATACACAGACACATAGATACTAAGTCTTTAAAAAGCTGAATAGATGAGAGCAAGAGTTGAGGGTATTAGCTATTCATTTATATTCATAAATATCTACTCTTCCCAAATTATAGTTTATAGTTATCTAGTTATAATTTTTTATTTTTTAATAACTATTTATTTATTATTTTTGGGTTTTTCGAGACAGGGTTTCTCTGTAGCTTTGGAGCCTGTCCTGAAACTAGCTCTTGTAGACCAGGCTGGCCTTGAACTCCCAGAGATCTGCCTGCCTCTGCCTTCTGAGTCCTGGGATTAAAGCCACCACCACCTGGCTTTGGTTATAATTTTTGACAGGAGGTCTCTGCCTGTAGTCCAGGCTCCCTGGAGTTAGCTCAAGCTAACTTTGGACATGGCTGGCTTTTAAACGTGTGGCGCTCCTTCTGCCCTTGTCTCCCGTTGCTGAGGCTGCATATGTGACTGTATGATCTTTTGGTTGAGATCTGTCTCAGATTAATTTTGTCTCTGCCTGACACCTTATTTGCAGTCTTTCTGGTCAAGCTAGTTCAGTGCTCTCTGAGCCTTCAGTTGCCCACTGGTGTTTAGTGTTCATCCCTCCATGCCCTTAGTCCTTTTTATTACCATTTTAGTGGGATTTCAAGAAAACATAGAGAAAAATGCATTTAAAAAATGTTGTTAGCCAGGAATGGTGGTGCACGCCTTTAATCCAGCACTCTGGAGGCAGAGGCAGGCGGATCTCTGTGCATTTAGTGGCCAGCCTGGTCTACAAATCGAGTTCCAGGATGGCCAGGATTGTTATACGGAGAAACCCTAACTTGAAAAACAAAGCAAAACAATATATTTATTTATTACACATTATATATATATTTTTATATCTATTGTTTATTTTTCACCCTGTCATCGTATGCACTATCAGTCTTAGGTGTTTGTCCTGGTGGTTGTCTAGGCTTTTTATGTTTTCTCTTATTTTACTTACTGACGATGTGTACAGGGTACATTGAAAACAGTTAAAACTGCTCATATCTGGAAACGTTACTGTATTTCTGCTTTCGTATGAAAAGACTAGACTTCAAGAGTTTAGGTTTTTTGTCTTTGAGTTAGTTTTTTACCTTTCTTCCGTCCCTCCCTTTCTCTCTCCCCCCTTTCTTCTTTCTTCTTTCCTTCCTTTTCTCTCTCCTTTTTTTCTTCCTTCCTTCCTTTCTTTTTTTCCCAAGACAGCCCTGGCTCCTCCTAGAACTCTCTCTGTAGCCCAGGCTGGCCACAGATTCAGAGATCTGCCTGCCCCTGCCTCCCAAGTGCTGGGATTAATGGCATGTGCCACCACCTTCTGAGTGTTAGCCTTGTGTTTAAGGAAGAGTCTCATCTGTAGCCAGGTTGGCCTGGAATTCACTATCTAACCCATGTTGGTCCTAACTGTCAGTGTCCCGAGCTCTGGGTCATGTGACCTACCAGGTGTGACTTAAATAGGTCTTTTGTAATAGCACATTTCTGCAGTTTTGTTAGTAAAAATGGGAGAATTCACAGTTTGTTAAGGATGTTAATGATAAGGTAAATTATTGGATACTTACTACATTCTAGACACCAACAGTTTTACTCTTGTTAATTCTTTTAGTAACTTTTTGTTGTTGTCTTTTAGAGGCAGCCTCTGGTGTTTCTGCACAGACAAGGACACAGGATGAAAGACTTGCAAGTTAAGTCCCATCATTCTCTATAGAAATAGACTAAAAAAATTTTTAGAAGACCTAGGATACAGAGTATTTTCCTCTGGGTGCAGACATTGCATGTGGGGCTCAGCTGAAGAAAAGGTGAACTGTAATTTCTCCACGTTCATCATTTACTTGTGCCAGTAAGAGCAACTGTAAGAAAGAACCATTAACATAAAGGCGGCGCTGTACTTCTGTCCCTTGTCACCCCATCTCAGCCCACTCGTGTAAACAGTCTCTCGTTATATATCCAGCTTCACTAGATACTCATCTAGTGCATGTGGCAAAGCTTCCATCCTATCTCAGTAGACGCTAGGAGAAAACCCTTGTGCGTGACAGAATGTTTGAAAGTCTTCATCCCGAGTCAGAGCTTCTGCGTGATGGACTCGATCCTGGAGAGAAACTTTATGAATGTAATGAATGTAGAAAAACCTTTAGCCTGAAAGAAAGCTTTGTAGAGCATAAGAAAATGCACAGTGGAGAGAACTCGCATGAATGTACAGAATGTGGCAAAGCGTTTTCTCGAGTCTCATCACTTACTCTACATATGAGAAGTCACGCACGGAGGAAATCACATAAACGTGGAAAAGCCTTCAGCCAGAGAGGAAACCTCCTTTCTCCTCAGAAGCAACATGCTGAAGAGAAGACTTCTGTTCAGACGCCAGCCCCCGTCAGAAATCAGAGACGCGGGGGGAACAAACCATTTGCGTGTAAGGAATGTGGGAAAGCTTTTAATGGCAAAGCATATCTCAAAGAGCATGAGAAAATTCATACAGGAGAGAAGCCATTTGAATGCAGTCAGTGTGGAAGAGCCTTCAGCCAGAAGCAGTACCTCCTGAAGCATCAGAACGTCCACAGCGGAAAGAAACCTTTTAAATGTAACGAGTGCGGTAAGGCTTTTAGCCAGAAAGAGAACCTCATTATCCACCAGAGAATCCACACCGGAGAGAAACCCTACGAATGCAAAGGGTGTGGGAAGGCCTTCATTCAGAAGTCAAGCCTCATCAGACACCAGAGAAGTCACACTGGAGAGAAACCGTACACATGTCAGGAGTGTGGGAAGGCCTTCAGTGGCAAATCCAACCTCACCGAGCATGAGAAAATCCATATCGGAGAGAAGCCCTACAAATGCAACGAATGCGGGACGATTTTCCGGCAGAAGCAGTATCTCATCAAACATCACAACATCCATACAGGCGAGAAACCCTACGAATGTAATAAGTGTGGAAAAGCCTTTTCTCGGATTACGTCACTCATAGTGCACGTGAGAATTCATACAGGTGATAAACCCTATGAATGTAAAATCTGTGGGAAGGCCTTCTGTCAGAGCTCCTCTCTCACAGTGCATATGAGGAGCCATACGGGCGAGAAGCCCTACGGCTGTAACGAGTGTGGGAAGGCCTTTTCTCAGTTCTCAACCCTTGCTTTGCACATGAGAATCCACACTGGTGAGAAGCCGTACCAGTGTAGTGAGTGTGGGAAGGCTTTCAGCCAGAAGTCACACCACATCAGACACCAGAGAATTCATATTCATTAAAGCTCTACAAATGCCTTAGATTTAGGAACACTTGAGCAGAATGTATGGTTGGTAATATATCAAAAGATTTATCTTACATTAAAGCTACACAAATATAGGCAATCCTTCTATAGTGACTCAAAACTTAAATGTAAAGATATTTAATAAGATGTATCACAGTATTATATACTTCACAGGCTCTCACAATAAAAGTTATTAGTATAATATTTTTTGTTTTTTTTTTCTCTGTAGCTTTGGAGCCTGTCCTGGAACTCACTCTGTAGACCAGGCTGGCCTTGAACTCAGAGATCCATCTGTTTCCCAGGTGCTGGGATTCAAGTTGTGCACCACCACAACCCAGCTCAGTACTATAATATACACCCTTCTCATTGAACTTAGAGTCCAGTGACTCCAAGTACTACAGTCTCAGAAAGTTTATCAAATGTATTAAGATAATATGAACAATACAAGTTTTGAAATTAAGAGGTAAAAATATTTTTGACATATGCTTTTCTATATGGGTCATTTGTAAAAACCACTTTTCAAAGAAGGCATTTTGGGACAGGGTCTCCCTGTGTAGATAGCCCAGGGCGACCTTAAACTCACAACATAGCCCAAGTTGGCCTCAAGTTTCTGGTGATTTGGTTACTCAGCCTCCCAGTGCTGCAATTACAGATATCCCTCACCATGCCAACTCACAAGTCTTTGTTGATAGAAGTGTATAAAGTTGAGGCCATGACAGAATATTGAATCTAGAAGTATGAATGAATTCATGGAGGATTGGTATTTGATTCTGGCAGTATCCCAGATCAGTACAAAAATCATGGATGACTTAAAAAATAATCTCAGGATAATCAGCTTTTGTGTGGGAAAATAATCGATCTCTGAAGTCCTCATTTATTAAAGTACTTCATAGGATCCAGTGTCTTTGCAGAAAGGAAGACCTTGTTTAAGAACTTCCTAAGTGGATGGTTTCTGATACTTGAGTAGGAAAGAAATTCTAGAATCTTCAGGTGTTGTTCTTGAGCATTTATACTTATTCTCAAGACACTGATGCTCAACGTAGGGAACTGTGCACCAGTCTGTTCATCCAGAAACCGATGCTCACGTAGGGAGCTGTGCACCAGTCAGTCTGCTCATTACAGCATGAGTTACAGTAGCAAAAATCAGGCACAGGTATTTGTTGCTTATGAAGTAGATGAATAAAATGTAACAGTCATACAGTAGAATATTCCAGCAGCTAGGCACAACTGCTTAAATTTATGTATTAACAGCAAAAGAAAAAAATCAGCATGAAGAAAATTGAATTGATAGATATATTGTGATGATTCCTGTGTAAATTTGAATAAAACCAACTTGTCAACACTGGTACTAAGCATTGCCTATGGAAACACTTTTCTCTAAAACTAGAATTGGGAGAATATGTATCCAGTTCCCCAAAAGTGGCCATTGCTGTTACTAATGGAGTTCTGTAGAAGTGAAATGTGACAAAGCAGGGTGATTATATGCTATTCCAGGTTTATATCTAAATATCTACTTTTCATTAAAAATAAAGGTTCCGAATAAATGTAACAAATTGATAGTTCTACATTGTGGCAACATATATTCTGTGCTATTTTTCTTAAAAAGATAGCTATGAATGAGATACATATTACAAGAGTCCCCATGGTATGTGTGGGATACATTCTACGGTACCTGGTGGACACCTGAAGTATAATATTAACTGTTAGCTTTTCCTATGTACATATGTGCTGGTGGTGAAGTTTATTAGTACCACAGAAGTCTAACAGCAACTTTTACACAGCATTGTAACTGCAGCTTCTGAATTTCCCCCCTTATTGAGAACATTCCTGTCTTCACGGAAGCACAACTTCACTTGCGCATCAATGTTCTTGGGCCTTGGAGCCATTGCTGAGTGAAGAAAGTGTTCTGTGTATTTTCTGTCCACTGATTGGACCCAGACGAATAAAATTTGGAGAAGTCCTGCCCTGATCTGGTTGTTTTCTTCTGATATGGGGTTGGTCCTTTTGCTGGGGCCTGGATATTTTGGTGCTCTAGACCATGCCAAGAGATTGGTGATTCTGTCCTTAGGTGTGGTGAGTTGGAAGTGACGTCATAGTAACCATGACTGACTGGAGCAGGAAAAAACGAAAGCCTGTAGAATGTCCTCAACTTTCATTCTCCCGTTTGTCTGACTATATTAAAACTAGAATTTGACCTTTTTATGCCCCCTCCCATCCTTTATCTCTCTTAAACACACAAGGCTAACTTTGAATTCATAGCAGTTCTCCTGCCTCAGTCTCAGATTACAAGGGTCAGCCATTATGCTAGACCTCACACTTGGTCATATGTCTTAGGTGTAAGGTAACTCAAGAGAAGGGCTCACATACCTTCAGCTTTTTTTAAAAAAATATTTATTTTTATTTATTATATATACAATATTCTGTCTGTGTGTATGTCTGCAGGCCAGAAGAGGGCACCAGACCTCATTACAGATGGTTGTGAGCCACCATGTGGTTGCTGGGAATTGAAGTCAGGACCTTTGGAAGAGCAGCCAATGCTCTTAACCACTGAGCCATCTCTCAAGCCCCATACCTTCAGCTTTGTCTGAACCCTAGTGTTTCATGTAGCATGACGTGCTCTAAACTGGCCTCATGCTTTATTCCATTCCCTGAATAGTAACTTCCATGAGTGATTTTCCTTAGGATTGGAAAAAAAAAATCCAAAGAAACTACAGCCTGATCTAGGAGAACAAATGAGAAATCACTTTACCCAGTTTCTAAAACAGTTTCTAAAAGTTAGGTTGAATGCCTAGCTTTTGAAAGCTCAAATCTTAGGAGAAAGGTTGTTTATGGCCACTCTAGAGAAGGTAGAGATTGGGACTACTCCGAAAATGAGCAATAAATGGGCTCTTCCTGCCTAATTCAAACTCCCAGTCCAGTTGTTATACTCGCAATTCATTCTCTCCTTTTATTGGGGATAGAGCACAATGGTGGTTCTGAGACAGCCTTGGCTGACCTTGAGATCCATCTGCTCTGTCTCCTGAATGCTGGAATTAAGGACGTATACCACTGTGTTTGGCCCACATTTTCTTCTAGGGAAAGGTGTGGGGGATGGGGTCTATTATAACCTAGGTTGTTCTTGAACCTGCTACATAGCCAGGAATAACTTGAACATTGGATCTTCTGTCTGCTCTTCCCAAGTTCTGGGATTTCAGATGTGCCCTAGTATGCACGAATTCTAGGTAAGTACCACACAGACTGACCAGCGTTCCAGCTGTCAAACCCATGTTCACGTTCGTTCAGGCCCCTTAGGTGCACTCCCATGAAGAAACCCATGTGAGGGCTGGAGAGATGGCTCAGTGGTTAAGAGCATTGTCTGCTCTTCCAGAGGTCCTGAGTTCAATTCCCAGCAACCACATGGTGGCTCACAACCATCTGTAATGAGGTCTGGTACCCTCTTCTAGCTAACTGTATAAATAATAAATATTTTTAAAAAAGAAACCCATGTGAGTCTAACTCACCTTGCCTAGTGGGGCCATATTTGGGAGAATGTTCTGCTTTGCAATGTAGCTAAAGACAGACATGGTATCACACACAAGGGGTGAGATTGCAGCCTCAAATTCTTTTCAGCCAGTATTAGTCCATTCATGAGGGCAAAGCTGTTACAAGGAGGGGTACTTGTTTGTCCCGGCCACCCAGAACTGAAATAACCACATAGAATCTGTATTAATTAAAATACTGGCCCATTAGCTCTAGCTTTTTATTGGCTAATTCATATTAATTTAACCCATTTCTATTAATCTGTATACCACCACATGGCAATGGCTTACCGGGTAAAATTCCTAGCATCTGCCTCAGGTGGATCCATGGCATCTCTCTGACTCCGCCATTCTTCCCAGCATTCATTTCCATCTTCCCCGCCTACCTAAGTTCTGCCCTATCAACAGGCAAGACAGTTTATTCATTAACCAAGAAAAGCAACACACAGAAGAACCTCCCACACCACAGAGCTCTCCTTGTACGTCAAGGTGTCGTCCCTCACCCCAGCAGACAGGCTCAGTATGTAATCCTGGCTGACCTGGAACTTCCTTTGTCCAAGCTGGCCTCATAGAGATCTACCTGTCTCTGCCTCCTGAGTGCTGAGATATAAGGCATATATCACCATGCCTGGCTATGGTCCAATTCTTAACGCTTGCTTTTGAAAACTAAAATTACAACATATTTGTAAGGGGATACATTCAAATCACAGCAAAGTGCAACTGATTGTGTAGCCTGTAAATTTTTTTTTTGTTTTGTTTTGTTTTTTTTTTTCGAGACAGGGTTTTTCTGTGGTTTTGGAGCCTGTCCTGGAACTAGCTCTTGTAGACCAGGCTGGTCTCGAACTCACAGAGATCCGCCTGCCTCTGCCTCCCGAGTGCTGGGATTAAAGGCGTGCGCCACCACCGCCCGGCAAGCCTGTAAATTTGGCAATTTATTTTTTAAAGATTTATTATGTATACAACATTCTGCCTCCATGTATGCCCACACACCAGAAGAGGGCACCAAATCTCATTACAGATTGTTGTGAGCCACCATGTGGTTGCTGGGAATTGAACTCAGGACCTCTGGAAGAACAGCCAGTGCTCTTAACCACTGAGCCATCTCTCCAGCCCCCAGTTTATTCATTGTTTGATGTGGGAAGGTCACTTGTCTATCTGTTGTTTTCATTGGTTAATTAATAAAGAAAACTGCTTGGCCTGATAGGGCAGAATTTAGATAGGCGGAGTAGACCGAACAGAATGCTGGGAGAAAGAAAGCCGAGTCAGGCAGTCACCATGATTCTCCCACCCCAGACGGATGTAGGCTAGAATCCTTCCTGGTAAGACACCATCTCATGGTGCTACACAGATGATTAGAAATGGGTTAATAAAGATGTGAGAATTAGCCAATAAGAGGCTGGAACTAATGGGCCAAGCAGTGTTTAGAAGAACACAGTTCCTGTGTAATTATTTCGGGTAAAGCTAGCCGGGTGGCGGGACGCAGCCCGCCACTCATTACTACAATTGTTTACATGGATTTTTAAAAATATTTTCAAGGTTTATTTATTTTAGACGTATGAATGTTTTGCCTATATATATGTTTGTGCGGGTCAAAACTCAGAAGAGGACTTCAGGTTTCCAGACTCTGAACTGGTGTTATAGGCAGTTTCAAGCTCCAAAGTGTGCTGGGAATCAAATCCATGTCCTCAGCAAGAGCAATAAGAGCTCTTAAGTAACCACTGAGCCATCTCTCCAGCCCCACAATGGTTCTTTTGTTCATTTTCAGATAGACTCAGTAACCAGGGTAGCCTCCAATTCACAGTTCTCAAGCCCCAGCCTCTCTGGTGTTGAGCCATGTTCCACCACACTGAGCTAGATAGAATACACTTCCTTAATACTTGATAACTATGTGCTTGAGAGTGAAAATACTAGACACCAAAGTCTGCAGTGGAGTAATTTTATGAGTTACTGGAATTGGTCAAATAAAAGCCTTCAGTTTTTCTATACCTCCTGGATGTGTATTGGTTAGATACCTCTATAGATCCAGAGGCTCTGGCAAATCTCAAGGCCTTTGTTACTAGGTTGGTCCCTGAAAGTCATAGAAAGATACAAAAGATGGATGGGTTTGCAGGAAAGAACAGGTCACAACTATTAGAAATAGCCTAGAAAATGTTTGATGTCAGAGATCTTTACAAAAGGACCAATGTCAGGGTCAGCCCCGACATAAATCATTTCTCGTGCCAGAGTGGAGGTGTGGGAATGAAATCTCACATGACTTTATCGGGAGGGAGTTTTCAGGGACCCTTCATGAAATCCTGAGTTCACATCCTGAAAATTTCCTGTTTATTCTCCAAACAGCTTTTATACCAAAACGTAAACTGAGGGGGAAGTTCGTTAGCATTCTGTTTCCTAGGTAGCGTGGAGAATGACTTAGATCACATCTACAACTGTGCCTGCTCTGTCACATAGACTGAAAAACACCTCTTCCCCAGGCTGTCTCCTAAATTACAATAGAAGGGGCGGAATGACATGAGCATATCCTGACAATTTGCTTAGGATGGCGTCAGGCTCTCTCACTATGTAAAGCTAGGTGACCACCTTTTGTGTGGCAGGTACAAATTGTGCCTTGCCAGGTTGCTCAGAATCCTGGCTGCCATAGAAATATGGGCCTGTATAATCCAGCCTCTACAGACCAATGCAACTACTGAAAAGAAATGGGTCATTGGAAAAATGAATGCCCATGATAGAAACAGGTAGATATCCTCCTCCCGTACCCAAGCCAATCCTAGCAAGGTCAAACATCCAATTGTCTGGTTTAGAGGAATAAATAATTCAGTAGCCACACCTTTGGTCAAACAGCCTTGAGCAAGAAAAGGTTTGACTTCTCTAACCTTTAGTCAAGATGCAAGGGATCCAAAAGTGGGCCCTCGCACGTAGTGCAGCTAAGACCTGGAGCTATGCCCATTTGGGTCTAGCAATACCCCATGGCTTGGAAGCAGGAAAGGGGTTTGGTTTTACATCAGGCACCTCCTTGAAGTAGGCATACTTACTCCTCATCAGTCAGTCTGTAATACCCCCTGCTTGCCTGTCCGAAAGTCTGGATGGAATTCAAGACTATAGATTAGTACTCAAAAGATGCATCCTTTTCCATCCTCCTGTTAAAATTGAGTCAGCCCATCTTATTTGAATGGGCTGAGCCTGAACTGAAGCTATTGGGACAGCTAACCTGGACCAGACTGCCAGGGTTCAAAACCTCTCCCACCATCTTCAATGAAGCCCTAAGTCAGGGTTTATCTGTAGTAGTAGCTGCAGTGGGGCTGAGTCCCCGGCACTTGGCCGCCCGCATGGCTAGCTTAATACCCAAAATAATTACACGGAAACTGTATTCTTTTAAATACTGCTTGGCCCATTAACTCTAGCCCTTACAGGCTAATTCTCATATCCCGATCAACCCATCTCTAATA